GAGTGAGAAGGAGGGCAACAGAAAGACAGTGAACAAGCAGGTGACAGAGGAAAAGTGTGGGTGACAGCAAGCGAGAGTGGACAACAGTGTGAGCAGGAGAGTGACAGAGGGCAACAGAGAGACACAGTGAGCAACAGGGAGAGAAGGTACGCAATATAAAGAGAGGGTGGATGACAGAGAAATAGAAGGTAGGGGACAGAGAGAAATAAAGGGTGAGCAACAGAGAGAAGAGAAGTTGAGTAACTCTGCCAGTTATCAATTTATTGTCTCTTGGTTCTACATTCACCCCTCAATACCTGCTCTGTGATGATGGACAGAATTCCTTTAAGCATCTTTCCTTTACAGTAAGCATGATGTTCAGCTTTCTCAGTAAAGGGCACTGGAAAGACATTGCAGGAGGAAGGGGCTCACCTAATGTTTCCAGCTGCTGCACAGTGGATCAGCAGTGTGGGGGTGAGGACATCCAGTGGAGCTCTGTCCCAGCCCCCACCCAGAATGCGTGGTCCCTCAATGATCTTGAAGCCTTAGCCTGGCCTGGCGATAATCTCGCAGCCCTGTCTACATGGAAACCAGCACTCCAAAGGCCTTCTGCCTTCACTGGCATCCTGACTCCCTCTGCAGGGCCTGTGCAGCTCACCTGCACCTTTAGCCCCACTCCTTCTGTACCCCCGTGCCACCAGTTGCGGATTGCCTGCTCCCTGCCTGCACTCCAGAGGGCTTCGTCCTGTTTGCCCAGTGCCTGGGCAAACCAGCAAACTTTTCAGTTATCCAGTGGGCTGAACTACACCTTCTCCAATGAGGTCTGAACCGCAGCCTTCAGGAGAGGGCCCCTTCCAAATGTGTCCTTCCTTGGGTACTCTCCCTTAGCCCTGTTGTTAGTTGCCATGGAGTCGATGCTGACTCATGGCGACCCCATGTGTTACAGAGTAGAACTGCTCCATGGGGTTTTCAATGGCGTAATCGTAACAGAAGCAGATTACCAGGCCTTTTCCTCTGCAAACCGCCAACCTTTAGGTGAGCAGTCAAGCACAAACCGTTTGCACCACCTAGGGACCTCCGTTAGACCTAGAGTACGGTACAGAGTTTGCGTATATCTTGTACTCATCCGTTTATCAGTTTAACAGTTCTTTATATTAAACTTGTCCTGTCTAACACACTGTGTGGTTTCTATCTCCTGAATAGACCCAGAATGATAACAATGACAGAGAGAAAAAGAGTGCGAAACAGAGTGGGTGACGGAGAAAGAAAGAGAATAGGTGTTATGGATTGAATTGTGTCCCCCAAAAATGTGTTATAAATCCTAACCCCTATACCTGTGGTTATAATCCCGTTTAGGAATGGGTTTTTCTTTGTTATGTTAATGAGACAGTATTAGTGTAGGGTGTGTCTTAAATCAATCATTTTTGAGATATGAAAGAGATTAAAACAAGAGAGTGAACAGAGATGGGGGAAGATAGATGCTACACCACAGGAAGATCACCAAGGAACCAAGCCATCGCCCAGAAGCTGAGAAGAGACAAGGGCCTCGCCGCAGAGCTAACAGAGAAAGAAAGCCTTCCACTAGAGCTAGTGCCCTGAATTTGGACTTCTAGCCTCCTATACTGTGAGAAAATAAATTTCTGTTTGTTAAAGCCACCCACTTGTGATACTTCTGTTAGAAGCAGCGCTAGATAACTAAGACGGTAGGTAACAGAGACTATGAGCGACAGAGAAAAGAGGGAAGTTACAACAGAGGGGCACAGTGTGGGGAGGATGACAGACAGACAGAGAGGAGGTGGGATAACAGAAAGGGTAAGTAGGCGACAGAGAGAGTAGATGACAGTGTGAGGGGGTGGGCAACAGAGAGAGGGTATGGTGGGCGAGAGAGACAATGGGTGACACAGAAAGAATTGGCAGCAGATAGAAACAGAGAATAAGAGAAAGAGTGGGTGACAGAGAGCAAGCAGGTGGGCAGGCATCATAGGGAGAGCATGACTGACACAAAAGTGCACCACAAAGAGTATGTGACAGAGAGAGTAGTGGATGATGGGCAGTAAAGGTGTGTGATAGAGAAAATATGTGTGCAGAAAGTGTTTGTGTGAAGGGGAGTTTCAGAGTTTTCTTCTTGCACACACACACGTGCACACACAAAGAAGAAAGAGACAGAGACAGGGAGGGAGAGGAACAGAAAGGAGAGAGGGAGAGACAGAGACTGTGTAAGAGAGGGTAGGTCTGTGCCAAAGAGCAGAATTATGAGCAATAGAGAAGGGGATACTTTGTGCAGCGGGGGAGGTAGAGGGGGGATTGTGTGAAAAGAGGGGAGAGATTGAGAAACATTAGGAGAAATAGAAGAGCGATTGTGAGAGATGAGGGGTCATGAGAGATGGGGAGATCACGAGGGACAAGGCAGTTGTGAGAGCCAAAAAGTAGGGACTGTGAGAGCAGAGGATGATGACTGCGAGAGGAAGGGCGATTGTTTTGGGGAAAGTGTTAGAGGAAGGGATTGTTTAGGAATGTTCAGGGGAGCGAATGAGAGAGACAAGTGGCAGCGTGAGAGGCAGTGTTGGGGAATCACTTGCTTTCTTGGGGAAAAGGAGGGGAACTAAAGGTACTAAACTCATCTCTATTTTCAGATGAGAATATTGAGGCTCAGAATACTCAGGTGACTTGCTTGAGGTCACCCAGCTAGCAAGTGGCAGAGCCATAATGGGAACCCAAAATGGTTCAACTCTAAAGTCAGTATTCTGTTTTGCCCAAGTCTTCCTTAAGGAAGTCATGTAACTAGTCCAAAGATGTGCTTTTACTCCTCTTAAGGAGATCTTTTGGTATCAAGGGACATAATTTTTTTTTTATTGTTGTAAATATATACATATAACACAACATTTGACAATTTAGTGTTTTTCACATGTACAATATAGTCATACCAATTATATTAATCATGTTGTATAACCATCACTGATATTGCCAAATTGTCCATCACCATAAAGAAACATATTTTAACAGCCTTAAAAACATTTTTTTTAAAAAAGAAGACAGAACTATTCCACTGCCCCAATTTATTTCTTTGTACAGGAGCCTTTATCAATATGGGGATTGAGCTTTAATTTCTCTGCCAGCAGGTATCCATGCAATTAACAAGCAGTTCTCCAAACCAAACCAAACCAAACCTGTTGCCATCGAGTCAATTCCGACTCACAGCGACCCTACAGGACACAGTAGAACTGCCCCATAGGGTTTCTGTCCTGTAGGGTCGCTATGAGTCGGAATCGACTCAAAGGCAATGGGTTTGGGTTTTTAGCATACTGATAACTACGTTCATACTGTCAATATCAAGCTGCCAGTCTTCATACCAGCAACCATGTATGTTGTGTTGTGGGAAGAGCACAGGCTTTGGAAGCAGACAAACTAAGGCTGGAATCTTAGTTCTGCTCACAGCCCCATTGAGTGCCAAATACTACAGAAGTTTGAAGAGCCTGAGAAGTGAGAATAAGCATAGGTTTAGCAGCGAGATATCTGGTGATGTTCAGGAGAATGGGTTCTTTGGAGGCAATGAAGTGTAGTGGGTAGAAAAGTAAAAGCTAGCCTTGGCCCACCACATACATCCACTTTTTTATTTCTCCAGATCCTTTTTCTACCCCTCTGGCTATACTTTTAAGGCCTCAGAACTGGAGATTTACTAGGCTTTATTATTAAGTCCGGGAGAAATACATGGCAGTCCGCTTCCACAAAGATTACAGCCTAGGAAACCCTATGGGGTAGTTTTACTCTATCCTATAGGGTGACCATGATGGGATCAACTCGATGGTAACAGGTTTGGTAGTTTCTGTTGTTTTTATTAAGTCCTGGTAAGCCCTCTCCCACTGATCCTATCCTTTTCCTTGAAGCAGATCCCAGAAGGCCAGCCCTGCCATTTAGATTCCTTTTTAATTTAATTCCTTTTTTTGAGCACTTAACAATATACCAGGTACTTTTAGGACCTGAGGCCCTCATCTAAAATACAACAGGCTCCTAATTGGCCTACCAGCCCCCAATCAATCCTCCCTTGGCACTCAATAATACATTTAAAAAGCAGATCCGACAATATCATTCTCCAACTTAAAACCCTTCAAGGGTACCTGTCCCCAAAAGGATAGGTTATATTCCTCTTAGGCCAGCATATAAATTCTCCTGTTCATTTTGAGACCACCTCCCTCATACTTTGCTTTCTAGCAATATGACACTACAGACTACAGACAGCACCTGAAGGGAACCATCAGCCTCTCATGCCATATACAGTCAGGGACAGATTACCCAATAAGCAAGGTACCCACGGGCTTACTTGTGTTTACTTACTAATCTGTAGTGCACAATTTCACCTGGGCTTCACCACGTCTACAGATTAGTAAGTAAACACAAGCAAGCCCGTGCGTACCTTGCTTACTGGTTAATCCGGCCCTGTCACAGTCCCCTCAGCCAAAAATGCAAAAAAACTCCACTCCACCACGTACCCGCTTAGCCATCTGGTGAGTGCTTACTCATTTTTCAACACAGACCTCAAATGGCTGTAGTCGGCCATTCCCTCCTTTGCGCCAACACTATTATACATATTATACCTGTTATGTTATGCACATTATACCTGTTATAGTGCTTATCAAGCATTACAGCAATTATTGGTTTACCTGCCCGTTTTCACTATGAGATTTAAGCAATGTGGGGGCAGGGACCATGTTTTACTCATCTCTATCCTCTAGGCCTGGGGCGTGGTAGACCGGAAAGACTAAAAAACGGCTTGATCAATTGATCAAGGCGTCCTACCTCTAAAGGAGCTCATACCGAAGGGTTGTTCGACCAAAAAATAGGGGCATCGGGGGCTTTAGAAATGTGGTCAATGTCCAAAGCGGATGCCCACGTCCTGCTCCAAAGAGACCGCGAAAGCACATTTCATAAGGCTCGCTCCGCAATTTAGGCCCGGGGATCCGTGGGCCACCCCCTCACCCCGGGCAGGATTTGCGAGCTAGACCCGCACGGCAACCCACACATACCTCAGGTAATGGGCAGTCTGCTCTGGGCTCAAGGCCTCTGCTTCCGCAAACCCTGTGGATGCCTCCATCATCCTCGGCCTAGATTCCAGGTTATCTTGGTCTGGATTTGAATTTCGCTCGCTTCCGTTTTGCCCATGCGCCGTGAGCGTAGGGGGCGGGGCCAACCGTCGCACAGCCCTGCCTCACCCACGAGGGTCGCTCACCTGCACCTACGCTCGCCGCCGCTAGGAGGCGATCGCAGCCCGCGCAGCGCAGAATGGGCGGTGTCCTCCTGTCGTGCCTTGCATTTCCAAGCCAATCCAAACCGTGCTGAGGCGAATTCGTCAGTGTTGGGAACGAGAGGCTGTGTAAAGGCGTGTGTATGTGGGGGATTGCAAGGGAGTGTGTGCGTGGTATGGGGTGGGGGGGTGGGAAGGGTGTGTGTGTGTGTGTGTGTGTAATCTTTTAATCCTTGTGAGTAGAGTAGGCTGCCTGATATGTTCTCAGTCATTTTAGTGGGCCCTAGAGACCTCCTCCACCAACTGCTCCCCCTTTACCCCCAGATATCATCGTTTCCCTGCTAGCCAATGCCTGGCACTAAACATGCTTTGAATTCAGACACTCCTTGACTTAAACTCACATTGAAGAAGGGTCTTCAAGAACCAAGCCAAAGCTCACATTTAAGAAATAAGTAATGCTGTGGTGTATGGTCACTATTTCTTCAGAAGCTCCAACTGAGATGCAGTCACATTTTCAAAAGGAAAATGTGGCGATTGAGTTTAATTGGCTTGCTTGGGCACTGCTAAAAAGCAGGCTGTGTGCCAACAAAAATTGTCCTTGTTCATATGCTGCTAAGAAGACCGACACTAGGGTTCCTCTAAGACTAGTTAGCATTCAGTATTTGAACTCACCTATTGAACAAAACATATGCCATATGTCCAGAAGATTTTAAACTTTTGGTAAAATTCATAGAAGATTGGCTATTTTCCTCGTTTATATGACTTTGTCATATGTTCATATGGCTTTAAGCCCTTTGTTAAGAGGGTTTTTAGTATACTACTATCTTAATTTCTTAATGCTGTTATAACAGAAACGCTGCAAGTCAGTGGCTTTAACAGATATTTATTTTCTCGCAGTTTAGGAGGCTAGAATTCAGAATTCAGGGCACTGGCTCTAAGGGAAGGCTTTCTCTCTCTTTTGGCTCTGGGGGAAGGTCCTTGTCTCTTTTCAGCTGTTCTTCTGTTCCTTGGTGATCTTCATGTGGCATCTTTCTTCCCCCATCTGCTAGCTTCAGTGCCTAATCTGCTGTTTTTATATCTCAAAAGTGGTTGACTTAAGGCACATCCTACACTGATATAGCCTCATTAATGCAACAAAGAAAACCCTATTCCCTCTGGAAGTTCACCCTTCAGCCAAAGATTAGACAGGCCCATAAAACAAAAAGAGACTAAATGGGCACACCGGCCCAGGGGCAAGGATGAGAAGGCAGGAGGGGACAGGAGAGCTGGTGATGGGGAACCTAAGGTCGAGAAAGGGAGAGTGTTGACATGTCGTGGGGTTCGCAACCAATGTCACAAAACAATATGTGTATTAGTTGTTTATGAGAAATTAACTTGCTCTGTAAACCTTCATCTAAAGTACAATTTTAAAAAAAAAGTAGCTCCCCCCCTAAAAAAAAGAAAACCCTATTTTCAAATAGGATTACATCCACAAGTATAAAAATCAAACTGAAAATAGAAATACCATATGATCCAGCAATCCCACTCCTAGATACATACCCTAGAGAAGTAAGAACTGTGACACAAATAGACACATGCACACCCATGTTCACTGCAGCATTATTCACAGTAGCAAAAAGACGGAAATAAGCTCAGTGTCTATCAATGGATGAATGGATAAACAAACTGTCATACATACACAAAATGGAATACTACACAATGATAAAGAATAATGACAAATCTGCAAAACATCTCACAACATGGATGAATTTGGAGGACATTATACTGAGTGAAAAAAGTCACAAAAGGACAAATATTGAATGAGACCACTATTATTAAAAATAAAAAAAAAAGGTTTACACACAGAAAAAAAAAATATTTGATGGTTACCAGGATAGGAGGCAGAGGGAGGGAAAATTGCTAGCTAGCTAGAAGACGTGTGTTAATATTGGTGAAAGGAAAGGCAATACACAATACAGGTTAAGTCAGCACAACATGACCAAGGCAAAGGAAGACACTGAGAGGAATGCAAGAATAAAGGTCAACTATGGCAATTACTATAACATAGACAATCCTACAACAGTAGTATTAACAAACAATAATTTACAAATGGATACATAGGTAGATAGGTGTGGTAAAGAGGTGTGGAAGGGTGGAAGAGAACACACCCACCTGCAGATATAGGTTTGATTGTGGATATTTCTACATACATAATTGTAGGTGCTACATATACATTAATATAGACAATAGAGCACACAAGGGCCACAGTCAGGGCAACTTCTTAGACATAACGAAACGCCTCACAGGATGAAGTTCCTAGGCTCGAAGGCAAAGGACCATAGTCTCAGGGGACATCTATGTCAATTGGCACAACATAGTTCAATAAAGATAATGTTCTGCATCCGTCTTTGGTGAGTAGCGTCTGGGGTCTTAAAAACTTACGAGAGGCCATCTAAGGGACAACTATTGGTCTCTTCCCGTCCAGAGCAAAGGAGAGTGAAGAAAAGCAAAGACTCAAGGGAGCAATTAGTCCAAAGGACTAATGGACCACATGAACCACAGCCTACACAGCCCCGAGACCAGAAGAACTAGATGGTGCCTGGCTACCACTACTGACTGCTCTAACGGGGATCACAAGAGAGGGTCCCAGATAGAGTGGGAGAAAAATGTAGAACAAAAAATCAAATTCACAAAAAAGATCAGACTCACTGGTCTGACAGAGACTGGAGGAACCCCCGAGACTATGGCCCTAAGACACCCTTCTGACCTGGAACTGAAGCCATTTCCGGAGACCACCTATCAGCCAAACAACAGACAGACCCATAAGATAAACAATAACACCCGAGAGGAATATGTTCCTTAGAACAATCAATTATACGAGATCAAAAGGACATTTGCCCAAAAGCAAAGATGAGAAGGCAGGTAGGGGTAGAAAATCTGAACGAAAGGAAACGGGGAAACCAGGGCAGAAATGAGGAGCATGCTGACACATTGGGGGGAATGCAACTAATGTCATGGAACACTTCATGTCAAACTATCGAATGGGAAACTAATTTGCTCTGTAAACTTTCACCTAAGGCACAATAAAAAATTAAAAAAAAAAAAACCAGTTGCTGTCGAGTCCAACTCATAGCGACCCTGTAAGACAGAGTAGAACTACCCTATAGGGCTTCCAAGGCTGTAAATCTTTACAGAAGCAGACTGCCACGTCTTTCTCCCATGGAGCGGCCGGTGTATTCCAACCACTGACCTTTCGGTTAGCAGTCAAGTGCTTAACCACTGTGCCACCAGGGTTAGGTTTGCAACATATATTTTGGGGGGACACAATTCAATCCATAACAACTACTATTATACCCCATTTTCCAGACGTGGAAACTGAGGCTCAGAGAGATAAAGTGACTTGCCTAAGGTTCCATAACTGGGAAATGGCAGAGCCAGAATTTAATACCAGGTCTGTATGAACACAAATCTGTACCTTCTTTCACTGTGTCACACTGCCTGTTGCTGCAAAGAAGAAGGGAGTGGCTAGAAATGAAGTTGATGAAGTGGTTAAAGCTTGTTTATCCTGCTGAAGTGTTTGAATCACGTCTTTTTCTGGAAGCAGGCTTGGATTGTAGTGGGCTGAGTGTCCAGGTGTCCTGGGTATCCAAAGGATGAGTGTGGTGAAAAGAACTGGTGGAGAGAATTTCATAGACAGGAAAAGAGAGTTTGGAAGCATCTCTAGCTGTGTTTTGGCTCAGTGTCCGCCATCATCCCTCATATCTTTGGAACTGTTGAAACTCAAGGTGAAACAAAACAGGCCCCTGATTGCTGTCGCAAGCACCTGCGCCTCTGTGGACTGTGGAGAAAACCTCCCTCAGGATGCTGCAGGGCTACCGCTCCTCAGCTGGTCATGATCCCCAAAGGCTCTGATCACTGGGAAGGAAGAACCAACCCTCCTGCTTGCCTGCCTTTTGGCTACTGAATTTTCTCAGTCCTATTGTCACCGAGCTGCTGGGCTGCTCCTTCTTTAAACCCACCAAGCTCTCCAACTCTGGACATTCCTCCCCTCTCCCTACAGCCACTGCTTCCTCTGGGCCTTCTGGAGTCCCAGCTCCTACCCCAGGGCACCAATGACCCAGGAAACCCCACCCTAGGCCCCTGGGCCTCCTTTGTAAATGGTCACCCACACTCACAGCCTGGAAATAAGAGAGGGGATGGAAAGCGGGTGGTTAGAGTGAGTATGGTAGATGGACAGATGAATAACAGGGAATCAAAATAATAGTTGCTACTATATCCCACTTATTATGTGCTAGGCCCTGTTCAAAGCACTTTACAGATATTAACTCTCTTACCTTGTTCCCTGTTCTGCATCTATCCCCAGGTAAGGGTTCCCTCTACTGTGATCTTCTATCAAGAGAATGGAATTTATTTTATTTTTATTGTTGTACTTTAAGTGAAAGTTTACAATTCAAGTCAGTCTCTCATATAAAAATTTATACATACATTGTTATGTGACCCTAATTGCTCTCCCTATACTGTGACAGCACACTTCTTTCCACCCCTGATTTCCCATGTCCATTCAACCAGCTCCTGACCCTCTCTGCCGTCTCATCTCACCTCCAGACAGGAGCTGCCCATTTAGTCTCATGTATCTACCTGAGCTAAGAAGCACACTCTTCATGAATATCATTTTATGTCCCATAGTCCAGTTTAATCTTTGTCTGAAGAGTTGGCCTAGGGAATGGTTTTAGTTCTGGGTTGACAAAGAGTCTGGGGGCCATGCTTTCTGGGGTTCCTCCAGTCTCAGTTAGACCATTAAGTCTGGTCTTTTTACTAGAATTTGAGTTCTGCACCTCACTTTTCTCCTGCTCCACCAGGGACTCTCTGTTGTGTTC